TTATTTAGATATCAATAGTTAACGAATATCTAAATAAATTCAAATTGGATACTTGGATAATAGATTACAGATATTCACAACTCTTTCTGACAATCCTCTAGACAACACAACAAAAAACCAAACTATGGAAAAATGATATAGAAAGTCTCAAGATATATACTATTTTCAGTCCTGTTTTTGAATAAGCAGTTGTCAATGAAGCCTAAAGACATAAAATACCGAGGAGTGGATGTACTTGGGTAGTTTTTTTTGGGGTCAAGCTTTTTGGACAGTAGACTCCTCAAGATATCTGGCATCCAAACCAGAAGGGTATTCTGAAAACTGAACTTATCTCTGAACAAGTTGTTGTTGACAAAACTTGAAAGATGTGAAACACCAAGAAGTGAGCATAACTTAAGTGGTTTTTCTTGGGGTCAAACTTTCTTCTTGGTGGACTTTCTAGGATATTCGGCATCCAAACTAAAAGGTTATTCTAGAAGCAAGTAGTGATACGGCCCTCGCTGAGATAGTATAATCTTGTAGAACCAACTATATAACCGTAAAATCTACAGAAGAACCTCACATACTTTTGTTGTCTCTCCACTATTTTTTTGAGAAAAATTTTGTAAAAAGTGGGTGATCCAGTTTACCTTCTCCAAAAGATCGATGTATTGTTTACTTTCTAAATCAGGTAGCATTGTTTACTTTTTACCTGTTATAGCAAATATGTAAATATATATAGAGTAGTGGACCTATGATTACATGCCTTGAATGTATCAACCTGAACAAACAATGCACCGAGCTCAACAGTACGATTTTCTGACTTCTCTACAGTGCCAATTGTCAAAGAAGCTTTTCTTTTTTGTTTTTTTTTAGGTTTTAAGTTTAAATATACTATGTATATAAATTAGTGTAGAGAATAGTTTAGATAGTAGTATGTAATTTTTAAAGAGCCTAACATAGGCTTATAATTGTGACTGTCTGGTATAAATGAAAAATCTTATGTTTAGTTTTTTTCTTATTTTCCTTTTACCTCTTCTTTTCTTTTATTTGTTTTTTTTACATATTCTTCTATACCTCTGTGTTTCTTTTATATAAGTTTTTTTTTCTTTTTCTTTTACTTCTCTATGAGAAGATGTCATCAGATTAGCGATATCCTATTGTAAAATGGTGATCGGACAAGCCCCCAGTAAGGTATTATCTTAATTGATCGTACCTCTCTGATGTGGTATGGTCACCTATAGATGTGTATAGATAATTAGTTAGATTACACGAGGTAACCACAGTATGTCAGACCTGTAGCTTTAATATTTAGCACTTCTACAAGTAGTGCTTTATTAAATAAAGGTACTGGCATGATTTGCCAAAGTGATACAAAAAAAAAAAAAAATAGATTACAGATATATAGATAAATAGTTAGGACAGTATCATTTATCATCTAATTATTTTTTATCAGAGGCTTACCTCTTTCTTCTTCTTAATAAAAAAAAAAATCAGATTTTTATATATAAATTTAACTTTTTTTACCCCCTTCCTCTCTAAAAAATCACCTGATTTTTGTTATGTTTCTTAATGGATTAGAACTTTAGTTTAAATTTTTATAAATAAGTTGTAAAAATTGTAATAATAAAAATTGTTATACTTTATATAATCTATAATTTTGTATTAAAAATTATAGTTTTAAAATTATATTTAAAAAGTTTACCAAGAATAAGTAAATAATTTTTTTGATTAAAATTTTTTTCTGAATTGGTATATTTTTAGGTTGATCTTTAATATAGATGGGTATATAGAATTATTATCTAATTATAATATATAAAAATTAGTATTTTTAATTTAATTTAAGTAAATTTATAAATAGTTTAAATTTATATTAAGGTTATAATTTAAATTAGCTCAAATTAGATAGATTTTATATAGTATAATTTTGTAATAATTTATATATGTCCACCTATATTAAAGAAGATCCTATTTTTATTTTATAAGTAACTTAAAATTTTTTTCTTATAAAATAAAATTAAATATTATTATGATACTATAATTTTTATTTTTAAATAGAATATTTTTAGATATCTCTAGTTAAAGATATCTAGTTTATATATCTCTAGTTTAATAGTCAATCAAAATACAAATATATCTATTTTTATATAATATAATAATTATATAAAGCACAATTCTTCTAGATTAGTTTAATAAAGCAATATAACAAAAAAATATAAAAAAAATATAAAAATAAAAAATACAAAAAATAACTATCTAAATCTATATTAAGTTATTAAGTAAAAATATTAAGAAAATAATTTTATTTATATAATAATACTGTATATAACTCTAATTTAAACATTAACCTAAATCTTAACTTAATTAAAAATATTTACCTAAATATTGTTTTAATTAAAAATATATAAACTAAATATCTTTAACTAAAAATAGCTATAATTTCTTTTTTAATTGGTAATTCATCAATCAATTAGTAAAAGGTTATAGAATATTTTCGAAGATATTTTATGATCCACAAGACCAATTTTGGCAATTCAACTACCATTAGATTCGTCTCAATGAGCTCTACAACTTCAATTAGAAGCCCAAAGATAATTAACTTAGTACAAAAAAAGTTTTAGAATGATGCAGCCCACATTTGCAAAATTCTAATTTCTATATATAAATTGTATCATGTTATATTATGACCTTTCACTGGTTGACTAGCGAATCACCAATTAAATATTATTAAAAAAATTTATTTAAAGAATTTTATCAGCAAAATTTATATATAGATATATATTGATTACTAGCTCCAAGAATATATATTAATTTTAATTCTCTCTATAGAGTTGTTAATAGAGTACTCCAAATTATAATAAAATATATAAACCATTCTAGTTTTAAACTAGAGTAGTTTATATGTTTTATTATAGCTTGGAGTATTTCATTAACAACTCTACCTCCCTGCCAATTATTATCGATTATAATATATAACCAACATAGATAGTAATCGATATATAGCCAATATAGTTAGTAATTGATATATATATAAGGGATATGACAAAAATCAGATGATTTTTTAAGAGTGGAGGGGGTAAAAAAATTTAAAATTATATATAAAAACCTGATTTTTTTTTTATATTAAGAGGGCGAAAGGGGATAAGCCTCTAATAAAAAAAAATCAGGTGATAAATGACACTGCTCTAACTAATATATATATATAATATACAACTCTTTCTAATAATCCCCTGGTCAACAACAAAACAAACCAAACTATAGTAAAAGTGGATACTATATATGATACTCTTGTTATATACTTATATACTTGTTGTTGACAAAGCTTAATATTAGAATTACTAATTAAGAAACAATTAAAAAACAAGTTCAGTATCTTGAGTCAAGCTTCTCTTCTATGAACTGTTGTTGACAAAGTTCTTAAATGTGATATACCAAGGCATAAATATTGTAGACAGTTTGTACAAAGGTTAAATCTCTTTCTATTTCTGTGATAAACTCCCCTGTATATTTAGTATTCAAACAAGAAGAGTTTCTGGGAACAGCAAAAAGAAAAAAAGTAGACTCTTATATACCTTCGATATTCAAATCAAAAAAATATTTTAGAAGCAATGTTACTATTGGATACTTGTACAAGAATATCAAATAAAAACAGTGGAACTTGACTATAGTACTATAATTCTTACAAAAAGAACTTCACATATTTTTGTTAGCCTACCACTTTTTTTTAAAGAAATTTTTATAAAAAGTAGACATTTCAGCTTACTCTCTTCAAAAAATTGATATTACATATACCAAAATAGTCAGCATTGTTTACTTTCTAAATCGGTATAACAGAACAATAAACATGTTAAGGTATGTGTCTCGAATACAACAATCTAATCAAATAATATTCTATGATTTGGACCAAATACCAACCCTCTATATTTTATGATCAAAGAAGTATTTTTTTACTAGTTTTGAGCTTTCATATACTATATAGATAAATTTAGAGTAGAGACTATTTTATTTAGTAGTATGTAATTTTTATAAACTATTCATAGGCTCATAATAGTGATTATTAGAATAGACAAATTTTTTTTTCGATATCTCCTTATCTCTTTTCTTTCTTGCTTGTATCTTTTATCATTTTCTTCTTTATCTTTGTTTTTCTTTTTTTCTTCTGTATTTGTATTTTTGTTAATTTAGCTTTTTTGATGAAGCGATATAGCTGCTAGAGCTAAGGATCAGAGGGTTCATATCCTCAGTAAGTTGAAGATCTAATGTGAAGCCAATTGCTGCTAGATAGATTGTTCTTGAGCTTAGTTCGAATTGATCTTTACTTATATAGAATATAGTATAAAAAATTATATTTTCCTGTTAATATAAGTTCTGGTACTTCCCAATAAAAAAGTAATAAGCAAAACTATTAAATATAAAAAATATATATATATGTATAAGGATAATTATATATATTGCATCCCGTGAAGCTACTATTTATCACACTCTACATATAATTATAAATTAGTATATGATATATATTAATGCATTGTACTCTAAATTTATACATAAAATCAGACTATATATAACCAAATCATAGTCATGTGATAAAAAAATGCTCGTTCAGAAAATCTATAGACTGTTCTTAGAAACAGTAGAAATAGTTCTAGATTACATAGTACTACTAAAACCAATAACCCTAACTGCCTAACTACGATCACGTGACTACGCACTGTCCCTAAGAACTATCTATAGATTTTCTGTACTTTGCTTATTTTGAAGCAAATTGTCGTATCACATAATCACTGTTTCTTGGTTGCGATGTAAATCTCTATCGCTACCAACATTACAGTATCAAATTATATCATTATACGATATATTTATTTTATCGCATGCTAAACAATCAAAATATCAAAATCAGCATAAAATCAGTCTCAAAAATTTGCTTTTCTCCCGTTGCTCTTAATATCACAATAAACATAGAATTCTACCAGTACAAAAATATACTCAATTTTTCAAATTACTATTTAGAAAGCACAGCAGAGATGGAGCGATACATTTTTTTTGATGATGATGCTAAGTGCTCTACAGCAATAACCACCAACAATACTTCTAGCACATTTTCTAGTCAGAATGATAAAATCCAAACATGCAATGAAAATCTAAACAAAGCAAAAACTGATTATTTAAGTATGAACAGCCCTGAAGTTTTAAATATAAACGTATCTGATACTTCAACTATGGATGAACTCTATGTTGAAAATAGTCAAGATAATGAAACAATAACAGATCAGCTTAATATTGATCTTGAAGAACATGATGATGAAATATCAGGTGGCCCAAATAATGAAGTTGAAATGATTTCTGAAAATATTCCCAGAGATGTTGTGTTTGATTCTTGGACAGAAGTTGAAATGTTTTTTGAGGAGTATGGAAAGCAAAATAGATTCACTGTGATAAAATATCGTGTAGAAAAGAATAGTTTGGGAATGATTCACATGAGAACTTTCAATTGCGAGTTTGAGGAGAAGTACCGACCTAATAAAAATCAGAAGGTGAAACAAAAAAACACAAAAACTAAGAAGGTTAATTGTCAGTGGCATGTGAATTTCTCTTTTGATGATGCTAAAACTCACATATCGATAACTATATTTGTCAACAAGCATAATCATGTTATGAATTTTAAAACGCAAGAATTTGGGATCAAATATCGTTCTCTTTCTAAAGATGCTCTAAAAGAAGTAGAAATTATGACAAGATATGGAAACTTGTCTATCACGTCTCAAAGAAACATTTTAAAGGAGCGTTTTCCCAACTTGCAATTTCATGATAGTGATTTAACTAATAGTATTCAAAAATTTAAAGGAGACAAGCATAAAACGAATGATGCATCAAACCTACTTAATACCTTGTTAATCAAAAAATAAAAAATCCTAGGTGGGCTGTCA